AAAAAGCCGGAAGTGGCGCTGTGGCTCAAGTGATAGAGCGCTAGCCTTGAGCTGAAGAGCTGAGGGACAGCATCCAGGCCCAGAGTTCAGGCCCCACGACCAGACCCAAAAAGAAAAAAAGATAAAAAAATTTGCCAGCAATTGGGGCTGGGAAGGTGGCTCAGTGGTAGAGCGTTTGCCTTGCATACATGATACCCTAGGTTCCATTCCTTAGCACTACATAAGCAGAAAAAGCCAGAAGTGGCACTGTAACTCAAGTGGTAGAGTGCTAGCCTTAAGCAGTCCAGGCCCAGAGTTCAGGCCCCACGACTGACAAAAAAAAAATAGCCAGCAAAAAGCCAGAAGTGGAGCTGTGGCTCAAGTGGCAGAGTGCTAGCTTTGAGTAAGAAAGCTAAGAGTACCCATTATTGGAATCAAGAGCAAGGAAGGAAGGAAAGAAGGGGAGGGGGGAGGAGAAAGATAGAGAGTGCAAGAGGGAGAACCAAATTGGAGGAAATGGGTAAGGGGTGTGGAGTGGAATATCAAGCTGGGGGAAAGCTACATGGAAGGAAGAGGTATGAAGACACCCTGAACCACAATGAGGTTTCTGGTAGGAGGAGCCCAATTTGGTGGAGTGCAGGTAAATGAGAATGGGAGGGGCACTGGAGCTCTGTCTTATGGGACTTTTTTTTCTTTTCTGTCGGTCGTGGGGCTTGAACTCTGGGCTTGGACGCTGTCCCTGAGCTAAGGAGCTCAGGGTGAGTACTCTACCACTTGAGCCACAGCTCCAATTCTGGTTTTCTGAGTAGTGTATTGGAGATAAGAGTCTCACAGACTTTCCTGCCTCAGCTGGCTTTGAACTGAGTTCCTCTTATCTCAGCCTCTTGAGTAGCTAGGATTACAGGCATGAGCCCCCAGAGTCTGGCCTCTACCCAGTTTTAACTTTAAAAGTCCCTTAGGGCCGGGCACCAGTAGCTCACGCCTGTAATCCTAGCTACTCAGGAGGCTGAGATCTGAGGATCGCAGTTCAAAGCCAGCCGGGGCAGGAAAGTCTGTGAGACTCTTATCTCCAATAAACTACTCAGAAAACCAGAAGTGGCGCTGTGGCTCAAGTGGTAGAGCGCTAGCCTTGAGCTGAAGAGCTGATGACAACAGTGCCCAGGCCTAGAGTCAAGTCCCATGACCAACAAAACAAAAAAAGAAAAACCTGGGTTGAATTTAACCTGCAGCTCAGCGCTGTGCTTAGGAGGGCAACTTGAAATGGTTGCCTGAGCAGGTGGAGGCACTGGGCAACTGGGCCAGCTACTGTGGTCATCTGGATGAGGTAACACAGAAGCATGGATGATGGGGTGAGGGCATTGGGAATGACATGAAAGAAGCCAAGGGAAAATATGATTTCTCAGTTACTTGAAGAACTTCACTTCTGATCACCAAAATTGGAGGTTGGGTAGATGTTTTCTATACCAAGAAATTCTCCACCTGTCCATGGATACCTCCCTAGTGTTCTGCAATTCAATCCAGTGCTGACACTGCCCACAGGTTAAAGGGCCCAGCTTCTCCTGACTGTTCCTACTTTAAAGGCCAGTCCAGTTCAGCCTTTCCCAGTAATTAGAGGATCCCAGGACTCTCTCTCTTGGGTTTGATAATCTGCCAACAAGAACAGTCATTTCAGCCTTGAGCTGAAGAGCTCAGGGACAGCACCCAGGCCCAGAGTTCAAGCCCCACGACAGACAAAAAAGCAAAAACAAAACCCGTCATTTCAATGTGCCCCTGACAGGGTGGGTATTTGCCAGCAGTGGCCTCTAACGGTTGGATGTGGGACTATGTAGTTCAAGGGAAAGGCTTTCAACTTGAAGAAGGTGCGTAAAGCATCAATCCAGCAAAGCGAATTAAGTTCTCTCTTCTAGTGAGGATCAAACTAAATACATACACTTGGAATGCAGTGATTTATGACAGGCGGCTATTTTAATAAATGAATCTCTAGAACACCATCCCTGGACAGCATCCAGTTGGGACAGGTGGTGCGCATTTGGCAGCAACCACATCCCTAAAAGGGGCTGAGGAAGAAGCCAGGGTTGGACAGGGCTGGGATAATGGGCAGTTCTGGAAAATGGGCGCTGGGTCCGATCCTTTCATATTATAAGGCGGGGAGTAGAGGTTCGGGAGCCTAGGGGCCTCTAACTGGCGAAGGAGTGAACTTTCCCACTAGGTCAGGTTTCACTAGGTTGGGGCACGGCGCGCGCTGTCCTCACTGCCATCCTAATGCGCTGTCTCCATTGTTTCTGGAAGCGCTCAGCCTGCGGTGGTCTATGGGTGCAGGTGCCCAGATGCGTTCAGGACGCGCGGCAGCTGTGCGTTCTTGGGCTTTTTACGCGCAGGACACCAGTGGGACGTGACATCCCGCGTCCCAGCTGCCAGCCATTGGGAGAACGCTGAGCGCGGGCCGCCCCACCCGAGCCGAGGCCGTACCTGGAGGGCGGGGAGGGAGGCGGGGCTGCAGGCGGGGCCTGGCGCGTCCCTAGCCCCATCCATAAAAGGCTGGAGCAGGGCGGGCAGGCGTGACTCTGCCTGGGTCAACCGAGCCCTCGTTCCAGTGGCCGTGTACTACAGCCGCCGCCGCCGCTTCCCAGCCATGGGCGCCGTCTGGTCCGCCCTGCTGGTCGGAGGAGGTCTAGCGGGAGCGCTTTTCGTGTGGCTGCTGCGGGGAGACCCCGGGGATGCGGAGCCGCGGAAGGGTGCGCCTCCTGGGGAGGCTTCAGCTCCCGGAGGCCATCAGGATGGCGGCGGCGGCGGGCTGAGTCCAGGGCTATGCAAGCAGGAGCTGATCACCAAACCAGGTATTCCCTCCCACCCCCCACCCCGCCCCCGGCTACGCACGGCAGATCGGCCCGAAGTTTTGAAGTTGAGCCGGAGAGGCTGTGCGTCTCCGCGGGCCAGCTTCCCCCCGCGGGGCCGGGACCCTCGCACACTCCTCGTTTTTCCCGGGCTGGGAAGGTTTGTTACTCCTGGAAGTGCGGGAGCTGCCCTGGCGGATCCTGCTGGCGCCGCGCCCAGCCACGGGTGCCCTGGGCGCCGGCCCCTGAGGGCCCGCTCCAGGGGAACGCGCGCCTCCGCCCCGCGGTGCTGGGTGCAGGGCCCTGGGCTGCAGTGGCCGCGCCTCCTTCCCACGGCCTTCGAAAGCAGGGTCTAGGTTTGGGGATTTCACAACCCTTTTCCGTCTCTGACCCAGCAGGACTATTTTCTGAGTTCCAACGCCTTTAGTCCTAGACTGTCACCCCACAGTCCTCGTTAGATTTGGGTTTGAGAACACCATGCGGTGAATGCCTCCTGCTATCTGGACGCTTCTATTGGGAAGGCAAAGTTCAACTTGATCTCAGGCCACGCAGGCCAGGGCTGAAGCCCTGAAGCTGTGCTCTGGCCTAGGGTTTCCAAACTTATAGGCCCTCCCATGTGCCTCCCCACCCCCCCCCCCAACACAGAATGGTGCAGTGTGGTCCGATCTTCGGAGAGGACCCTTAATGGGGCACTCATCTACAATGAATACTACATTTTAGAGACTGAGCTAGGCAGACAGCAAGCATTGGCACCAAAGTTTACCTTCCAGTGCCCTTCTTTGGCATGCTGCCCGCACCTGATGGTGAAATGTCATCTGTGGACTTTTTTTTCTCTTAATAAGGTGGTGTCCCTTTGTAAGCACAAGAAAATCTGTCCTTTGCCTTTGCTGCGACTGGTTTGGGCTGGATAGTTAATCTTGTTTCTGAAGACCACCAGCCTCATGTTTTAGATGGAAACACTGAGAATGCAGAGTAGCTTTCGTTGATATCCCCTTCCACTAAAATAACAACAGAAAAACAAAAAAAAGCCAAGACCATCTCCTAACCATACTCTACCTGCTTAGTGGATTTCAGTCTTTTAGGGGAGATATAATGGACTGCCAACAGAGAAATTTCAAGTCTGTGGGGGAGTTGGATTGTGTGTGTGCAGGCTAGGACTTGAATTCAGGGCCTGGGCTCTGTTCCTTGGCTTTTTTGCTCATTCTACCACTTAAATCTGCACCTCCAGGTTGGTTTTGTTTTTGTGGCCGTGGGACTTGACCTCAGGCCCAGCCCTGCCTCTGAGCTTCTGTGCTCAAGGCTAGCCCTCTTACCAGTTAAGCCACAGTACCACTTCCGGTTTTCTGAGTGGTTTATTGGAGATAAGAGTTCCCGGGAACTTTTATGCTAGGGCTGGCTTTGAACTGCCATTCTCAGATCTCAGCCTCCTGAGTAGCTAGGTGTGAACCACCAGGCCCAGCCAGGTTTTGTTCTATTGTTTAAATACAAATTGGAGATTAAGAGTCACATGACTCCCCCTCCCCCCACCTCCAAGGCTGGTTTTGAATCACAGTCCTTAGCTCTTAGCCTCCCAAGTAGCTAAGATTATAGGCATCAGCCACGAGACTGGAATCCTGTGTAGATTTAAGAACGGTTTATTTATTTTAAGAAAAGGGTACAGTGGGAGGGGATTCAAAAGGCTGTGTCCCTTTTTGAAGAAGTTCCACTGTCCTCACATTCACTGTCATGCACTACTGTCTTGGTACTCACATAGTGATAGCTCAGGCTGATCCCATCTGCCTGTTAGTCTGGGAGCTGACTCCTGCCCTTGCTGCATTTCTTCGGAGAAGTGAAGTACTCTTTGGATGTGTGGGAAAGCTATGCAGCCATTTGTTCCACAGGGTTTTTGGTTTATTCTTTGGGAATTGAACCCCAGGGCCTTGTGCTATACCTGCTGTACCACTGAGCTCAGTTCCCTTTGATGACAGAAGCCAAGCTGTTTGACTTGGCTGCATGTTAGCATGGCCTGGACAGTAGGAGACTGAGGGCAGGTTTACAGTTGGGCTTTTACAACTTGCCACTTCCTTTATACTCTATGCTGATTGTATTTCTATTTTTGGATTTACTTTTGGCGGTAGAATATGCATGCATACTCTTAAAAGTAGAGAGTTGAGAGCATATGAAGTAAAAATGAACCTGACTTAGTAGTACTGCAGATATAGTGCAAGACTTCAGATAGCAATCTTCTTTCTCAGACTCTTTTCTTTTGTGACCCAACACTAATACATTTTCTTTTTTCCCTTAGAGCATCTGCAAGAAAGCAATGGACATTTGATTTCTGCAAGCAAAGGCCTGGATAACCTGCAGGAAGCCATGTGTGCACAGAAGAATCTGTGTGGAGCAGATGGGAACAAAACAAGACAGCATTGCCCTGCTGCACAGATTCTAGACACACACACGCTAGCTGCTTCTGAGACTGGTAACTCTGCAGGTTACTCTGAAGCTTTGAGAAATAAAAGCCTTGAATCTCATGGAGAAGAACGGAGCTTCCAAAAAGGACAAATGACACCTGCTAGTGCAGCTACCTGTTTTGGAAAGAAGCTGTCCTCTAGTGACCTGCCTGTGGACAGAGTTGGAGTGAGCCATGCACAGCTGGACAGTCAGGCCCCAGCTGACCAGGAGGACTGGGAAGTGGTATCTAGGCACTCATCTTGGGGGGATGTTGGCTTGGGTGGCAGAATTGAGTCTTCTGGGTTAAATGTGAGTCAGGGAATGGACTGTGACAACACTTGTGTAGAATTGAGAGGTTGGGAAGCAGATCAGAAGGTCAGGTCTTCGGACTCTCAGCAAGTCAGCATTGGGTTTCAGGTTCATTACACTACGAGCACTGGTGCACAATTCCTTGCAGTGACCGGAGACCACGAGAGTCTTGGGGGATGGAAGACTTATATTCCACTCCACAACCACAAGGATGGGATCTGGTCTCATTCTCTTTTCCTGCCAGCAGATACAGTGGTGGAGTGGAAGTTTGTGTTAGTGGAGAATGGGAAAGTTACACGCTGGGAAGAATGCAGCAACAGACTTCTAGAAACTGGCCATGAGGATAAAGTGGTTCACAGATGGTGGGGGGTTCATTGAGTTAGTTGGCAGACTACTGGAGAAGTTACACCAGAATGTGGAGAGGCTACAGTGTGGTGCACACTGAGTAATTTAAAGTGAGTACAACTCCAAATTTAGCCATCAAAGTTGCTAGTGCCTTTAATCTAATAGGGAGATAAATATGTATACAGACAATGCTCTCAGCAGTGTGGACTTTTTTCCTTGTTGCACTGACTGGTTGGTTTGTGCTGATAGTCATGTATTTTCTTCAGGGCTTGAACCTCTTAGAGAGTGATCTGGCCAAGCTTCCGGTGGGACTGTGGTCAAGAAGCATAGAAGCTAATGGGCTACAACAGGTACAAGCTAGATGTAATTAGTAAAGATCTGCGGCAATGCCCTGAGACTCCTCCATATTTTTGTTTGGTTTTACCTGCTGTGTAGGAATTAGCAGATGGCAAGTGCTTCTATCTTAGTGATCTAAGGCTGAATGGGGTTGGGTTGTGGGTTGGCCTGATGGACAGCTCTTTTGAAGACTGGGAGGTACAGCCCAGTGTGGCTCCAGTGAAGGACACACCCATCATTTCCCAGGGGAGCCCTTGTAGGACTGTCTCTGTTCCCCTCACACCTGCACACACCAAGTCTCCAGAGATGGATTGTCCTATAGAAACTCTTGCCCATGACATCCTCTTCCCTCGCCTCTCATACCAGTAGCTGTAACCTGGTAACAGTTAATGTAGAACCTGCTCTGAGAAGAAATAAATGTTTAAGTTATATCTGAACAAATAAAACCTGAGCTGTAATCTTTACTAAATGTCTGAATTCTCTTAGTATTATAGTAACCCAGATGTCCAATAAAACACTATATGCATTTTACACAGAAAAGCAAATATTAAAAATTATGTAAGAAGCTGGGCACTGGTAGTTTATGCTTATAATCCCTAGCTACTCAGGAAGCTGAGGTCTGAGGATCTTGGTTTGAAGCCAGCCCGGAGAGAAAAGTCCTCATAAGACTGTTATCTCCAATTAACCACTTAAAAACTGGAAGTGACACTGTGGCCCAAGGTGGTAGAGTGCTAGCTTTGAGCAAAGGATCTTAGGGACAGCACCCAGGCCCTGACCAACACACACACACACACACTTATGTAAGAAGATATATGTCTTTTTCTCCTCCCTTTGGAGTAAAAGTTTAGAACATTTCTTTTAAAACATCTGTGCTTAGAAGAGGATTTCAGCATGCCTGATCTTGCAAATAAACCTTACATATTAATATCACTTTTAATAAGTATCATTGGTAAAATAATATACTTAATCCTGGTAAAAGTTGGGTCTTGGCTGAAAAGTTAAACCCCACTAAATCCAGCCTTAGGAAATGCTTAGTAAAGGGCTGCCTGACAGGTGACATTGTCAGAGCCACAGAGGCCACCTGCTGTTACTTGAACAGTTTGCTGTTAATGCAGAATATTCCTATGAGGGAAAGTAAAGGAAAACAAATTCAATAAAAATCCCTTGAAAGAATATTATCACAAGCCATTTTTTTTTTGTGGGGTCCGGTTGTGGGGCCTGAACTCTGGGCCTGGGCCCTGTCCCTCAGCTCTTCAGCTCAAGGCTGGCGCTCTACCACTTGAGCCACAGCGCTTTTTTCTTTTTGTTTATGTGGTGCTGAGGAATCAAACCCAGGGCCTCATGCATGCAAGGCAAGCGCTCTACCACTGGGCCACCTTCCCAGCCCCTCACAAGCCATTTTATTATCTCATGAAATAAAACTTCAACTTTCACTAGAGGCAACTGACTTAAGAGGTACTGATTTTCCTGAGAAGGCACATCTGTCCTCAGAATTCTATCTGCTGCATCAGAACTGGTGGCTACAGTTAACAGACCAGTCATACAGGAGGCAACATCAGATAGACTTCCTTGTTCTTGGACCCAGCAGTGCATCTTAGCAGAAAACTAGCACCCCAGGCTCTACTGCCTTGTGCTACCATAACCCAAACCTTCCCAAGTTGCTGTATCAGCCATGGAAAGGCAAGAAAGCGAGGCATATCACAAATACCTATTACTGCCTTTGATTTGCTTTGTACCTTCCATTCTATAAGTGAGAACTGACCAATGGGCACAGCTGGAGGAGGAGAGGGACTGGGCAGCAGAGCCTCTGGCTAGGCAACTGTGTTTTCTGACAGCTCTGAACTAGGGAGCAGGAGCACATGTTTGTTTTGTTTGTTTTTAGATAGCTAGCATTTGACCACATTACCACTGGTGTGTTAGCATAACCTATCTGTTTTGTATATTATATACACACATACCCAAATTTATCAAAATTCAATTTAGACAGACTGAATTAATCATCTAGAAGTTACCAGCTTACTTGCTATAAAGAGTAATGAAACATTTTCTTTAATTATTAAAATATAGAAAGAGAGACTTCTGAAATTTTGGACTGGGGGCCCCAAAGCTTTGAGATTGGATTACTCACTGATATTGACAGAATAAACAGTGAGTTCAGGGTCAAAAAAGGAACCCCTGTCCCTGTGCTGGAGTTTGTTCTTCTATTCTTGGCATCACACCATTCACTTGCATGTGGGAGTGTAGTGTTTCTCTAAAGACTTTTTCTAAGCTGGAAAAAATGATTACTGGGCAGGGCACTGGTGAATCACACCTGTAATTCTAGCTACTCGGGAGAATGAGACTGAGCCCAGGGAGAAAAGTCTTAGTTCATCTCCAATTGTCCAGTAAAATTCTGGGCTGGAAGCATGGCTGAAATGGTAGCGCCCAAAGCCATGAACAAGAAGTCAAGTGAGAGTAAGTATGAAGCTCTAAGTTCAAGCCCCATTACAGATGACAAGACCATCTTAGATCTAGTAAATTTAAAAAATACAATTATTCTAATATACTAGAATTAGCATAAATTAATACTTTACAATGTATGAATAGTTTCACATCTAGCTAGCTTTTTTTCAAGTTTTACTTTGAGAGCATTCAAAAACAGTTTATTTCAAAATAGTTTACAGGACAGGGTATCTTTTATTAAATTTTGACATAAAAAGAAAAAGGTACACAGGGCACTAATTATAATTAACACCACAATTAACCAGGCACCCTCCCTCTGTAAAGAACAGGCAAGCAACCCATCATTTTAGCAACATTTTTTCTTGGTCTTTCACTTTCTGAATCCTCTTTTCTTGATTTCTGATCATTGAAGACATTGCTGAAAATGTTGACAAAAAAAGTTAAAACAGCAATATCTACTTAGGGTTTAAACTCCATTATGTGCTTAAAAAAATAAAATGCTAGGAAATAAACCTTGAAGTTTTGCTTCCTCACCTCTATAACCATACTATTTTAAGCCCTCTTATATATTTGCACCATCGTTTCTTATGAAATAAGCTGCTGAAATGGTCATTTCTTCTAGCTCCAAGGTTACATATGCTTAAGTACAGAGTTGGGGTTTTTTGTTGCTATTTTTTGCACTGTTAGGATTGAATCTAGGGCTCTGTGTATGCAGGCAAGTGCTCTATCACTATACCTTAAATTCTGTTAAATGATACAAAATTCTCTCCAAAAATTATTTTTTTAGTATTCCCACAAACATTTTGTCTAGGCATTGCATGCAATACAAAGGTACTTTTACGCTTTAGCAAAATAAGCATGTATCTTGTTAGACTGTTACATGGTGCTATAAATCAGATAAACTGAGGAATATGAGAATATGAATAAAAATGGGGCCAATAAAATAATGAATTCTCCTCTTTAAAAACATAATAAATGCTGGGCATTGGTGGCTCTTGTCTGTAATTTTATTTACTCAGTAGGCAGAGATTGGGAGGATCACAGTTTGAGGTCAACGTAGGGAAAAACTTCACAAGACTCCATTTTAAGCCCATTGCTGGGAGTGGTAGGTAGGGCATGACTACCTTGGTATTCAGAAGGCTCATGGTTTCAGGCTAGCATAGTTAAAAAAAAAAAAAAGTCCAGGGGCTGGGAAGGTGGCTCAGTGGTAGAGTGCTTGCCTTGCATGCCTGAGGCCCTGGGTTCAATTCCTCGGCACCACATAAGCAAAAAGAAAAA